TAATACTGTGAAATTCTTATTCCAGGCTGGGGTATACATCAGCCTGTCCAAGGAATTGATAGTTTGCGAAGACTTTTGAGGGGCGGGACTCGCCAGCTGAAAACACTTTTGGGTTTTTTTTGTTTTATGTTAAGTTTATGTGTTATCTTTATTCTCGCTTGTAATTTTACGTGACGTGTAATCTGATTTTGGAATGACCTACTTCCCGCCGTATGTGTTTCTGATAGCTGATGGACCTTTTATGGATCGTCGGGACATCAATTTTCACACAAATATCTTAAGCAGGTATCTTATTGCTACTTGAAATTGGGAAGGGAATTACATATATAATGACTTATTGGTCCGCGTGTGCAGACTGGATGATCGGTAACAGAGGGTTACCTAATCATCAGCCCTCCAGCCAGTGTCCAATATCCAATATATCCTCGGTACCCAAGGGTTACCTAAGGCAATCGCCTCCCAACAAATGTTCAATGTCCCAGATAAGGCGATAGGGTGCACGCCTGCACCGTTGAAAGGAATTTCATTGGCACTTTCCGTGTTGTCTTCTTTCTTATGTTCTAATGGTAAGAGGGATGGGAAGATGTTTTCAGAATAAACATATATTGGCTATTATTTATATATATATATACTAGCGGACGCGGCGAACGTTGTCTCGCCCCAATATACCACCTTCAGATAAACTCCAGATTTTGTATTTGAATGGAATAGAAATCAATTGAGAGCGGTATGATGAAGAATATTTTTCGACTTGTTTTCCGGCGCAAAAACAAACAACGAAGCCAGGGTTCTGAATTACAAGATAATTTAAAATTCACGAGGACTTTATTGTGAAAAAACGGTAACTTTGCCAGCAACTGAAATAAAATGGTTAGCGAAATCAGAACTCTTTTGGTTACTTTATTTTTAATGGGTACTTATCTTTATTTTTCCGTATTATTATGCTATCGGGATATGTTCTGTATTAGCAAATTTGAGCCAAATCGGCACAGCCGTTCTTAAACTTAAAACACATTTTTTGCCCGCTAATACCAGCTCACTAGCAACCGGTTTCAAATCGTAAAAATCTTGCGACTTCCGAAACCGGAGCACGCTTTGCGATAACACTAGTCAACACGATTTTTCCTCAAGGAACAAAACGAACTTTTTCTTAAATATTTGGGGCTTAGAAATGGTTTGATGATATTTTTATACCCGTACTCAAAAAAGAGTTAAGGGGTATATTAGATTTGTGGTAAAAGTGGATGTGTGTAACGCAGAGAAGGAAACGTTTCCGACCCCATAAAGTATATATACTCTTGATCAGCATCAATAGCCGAGTCGATATAGCCATGTCTGTCTGTCCGTCTGTCTGTCTGTCTGTCTGTCTGTCTGTCTCGATGAGCGCCTAGATCTCAGAGACTATAAGAGCTAGGGCAACCAAATTTGGTTTTCAGACTCATGTGATATCACACTGCTACAAGTGTATTTCAAAATTTCGCCCCGCCTCCTTCCGCCCCCACAAAGGACGAAAATCTGTGGCAGGCACAATTTTAAAGAAACGATAAAACTAAAAACGCAGTATCGTAGAGAATGACCATATCTACCAGACTGCCGAATCTGAATCAGATCGGATCATAATTATAGCCAGAATGAAGAAATTAATTTTCAGTTGCTTCCCCTCCCCCCTACCACCGAGACAACACAACTCATTTTCCTTCTCGCTCGCACACTCTGCCGCGTTCAGTGCGCGAGCAACCCCTAGCGGTGGAGATGTAGAATATGAATGGAACATGTACAATCTACATGTTAGATGTATAATAGACATTTTATATGTAGATGTAGATAGCATATGTAGCAAAAAAATGTAAAATGTAAAATTTTTTTTTTTTTCTAAAATTCTAAAAAATCATAAGCTCAAAAGTGTATGTATATACTGACTGAGTACGGGTATAAGTAGAGTCGTGTCCCCAGAAACGACTCACACGTTCCTTCTCGTTTTTTTTCTATGGCAGAACTTTTTTTTGAAGAATTTTTGAAAACTGGTATTTTTTTTAAGCTTTTTTCAGAGGTAGCGCTTGTTTTTTTCACATAGCTCTAGTATCTTACGTCTGGTTGTAAAGAACTTTGCTATTTTGAAAAGGTTATTAAAACAGCTAGAAGTTAAGCCCAAATACTTTGTGATTTCAGCTTACCGTCTGGGAAAATAAAAAGCATTGAAATGCAAAAATGATGATTTTTGTGCGGTATTTGTTACGAAATGTTGACTTTAAAAACTCAGGAAAAGTCGAAAAAAAGTATATCCTGTGTCCTCTATTTTTTTGTGTATAGGTGCGTTAATTTGGCGTCGTTTAAGGTATCGCTCATAAAAATCTATGGAGAGACTTTGGAGCTAAAATTCGTTAACCAAACCTAAAATATGAAAAAAATCAACAAAAAATACCTTTTGGAAGGTTGCGAGCCCAACTGCCCATTGGGAACAAAGGAACGCGATCAGGTACCAAATGTACAACCCTTGTTCGTTTGCTTTGTTCCCAATTGGCAGATGGGCCCGCAACCTTCCAAAAGGTATTTTTTGTTCATTTTTTTCATATTTTAGGTTTGGTTAACGAATTTTAGCGTTTTTAAAGTCAAAATTTCGTAACAAATACCGCACAAAAATCATCATTTTTGCCTTTCAATGCTTTTTATTTCCCAGACGGTAAGCTGAAATCACAAAGTATTTGGGCTTAACTTCTAGCTGTTTTAATTACCTTTTCAAAATAACAAAGTTCTTTACAACCAGACGTAAGATACTAGAGCTATGTGAAAAAAACAAGCGCTACCTCTGAAAAAAGCTTAAAAAAAAATAGCAGTTTTCAAAAATTCTTCAAAAAAAAGTTCTGCCATAGAAAAAAAACCATAATTCTTTAAACAATTTTAAATCCCCATATCTATCAGAAAAAGTCGGTTTGGATCCTTGAGGAAAAAAAAAGTTCGATTTTGTCGAGTAGTGTAATCGGAGCATGGCTGGTTATTCATCAGTTGAATTATAGTATGCCTGCTATAAGCCGATCAAATCCATCAAATATGTTTGAAAATATGTCAATAAAGGGAGTGACATGGCGGTTTTTAGAATTGTCGGTACAAATGCAAACGACGAGGTGACGAAATTTCAACTTGGACGTTACGTGAGTTGTAACGAGGCAATCTTGGGGCTGCTTTTAATTTTCGATCCATGAATGTCACCCGACTGTCGACAGCCGGCGAGTAAGAGTAAGGACATTACTCTATTCGGAAATAACACGCTATTATTCATCAAAGAAGTTTAACGCCGGAAGAAAGGTGACGCAGTTGAGGCTTCACCGATGTCTGTTCGAGTGATGCCCTCGGACGAATATATACAGTTCATCCACGCCAAGACGAATGCTTCTATCTTCGCTTGCTTTTGGTGAACATTAGAGGCCCTACATCCTTTATTTCCTTACGTATGTCGATGGTGTACTGTGCGCCACTTTTCGGGATGCTTACCAACGTTTGAATTTGCTCCAACACGATACACATTGGGACTCAACGCTCGACAGCGAATCAAATTCGTCTTTGTTTGCGATCATCAAAGCACATTTCATTCGTCGAACCCAACCACATTGTGGGACAAATACAAGGACGATATGGCTGACGACATTTTGCACAGATTTTCACGATAAATTCGAATTTCAAATTGGAAATTAACAACGAAATGCGCAAGGAAGCCTTAGTTCTGATCGACCGCATGTGTTCACGTGCGGCACTCTGCTGTCGACATTGGGAATGCCAGAGCCAAATCGTTCGATGCACGATGCATTCATTCGCGACTTGCAACGGGAATAAGACTATGATCGGAGCAAGCTGGCCGAAAGAATCCGAATAAATTTTCTTCTGTTGAATGCCGAGCAGAATAACGTGTACGATTCCCTTATGAAGGTTGTTGACGAGGGAACGTGAGGCATTTACTTTCTCGATGCTCCCGGTGGGACAGACAAGACATTCGTCATTTCCTTGATTCTGGCAACAATTCGGTCAAGGTCTCGAATTGCATTGCATCCTCTTGAATTTCTGCCGCCTTGCTGAAAGGTAGTCAAACTGCACATTTCACTTTGAAGCTAACGATAAATATTCTCACGGTTGACTAGCCAACGTGCACAGTCCCAAAGAGCTCGGCGACAGCGAAACTAATGTGAGAATGCAAAATTATTATTTGTGACTAGCTGTACCCGGCCACGTTTCACTGTGGCACATTGTGGTTGCATGGATGAGAAGTGAGTCGAATAATACGTTTAACATAAATTTGGATTTGCACTAAATGGAGGATATAAAATACACAATATTCCATTCCCGTTTCCCTCATCTTCGGTTGATCGACTGCCATTCCGTCTCCCTCTACGCATATGGATTCTTCATGCTATTATCTCTAGTACGGATTCCCGTTCTTCCTCATTCATATTTGAAAATCATCTTCTTGTGCAGCATCTTTATTAATCTGTATACATATATTAGTAATGATAATACTCATACTAATACTAGTCACACTTTGTGACTAGTGCACTAATCATAAGGTACAACCTTGTAGCACTAGGAAAATCAAAATAAACAAACAAACAAACTGAAAATAAATATATATATGACCGAAAAAAAAAAAAACTATTTTCAAAACATATTAAAAATGTATTCTACATTTTCCGCACAATTTTCTGACTTGTTGAGCACTTTTAAACAATTTGTAAACAGTTTCGTTGTGGTTTTTTTTTGGGTAGAGTTTTCTAAGAATTTTTCAGAGTTAAGGCTGCTTTTTTCCATATTATGTTAGCATGTTACACTAAATTAGATTTTTGTATATATACATTTTATTCATAAAGGCACGTTTATTATGCAAAAGCGTCCATACAAAAATTTTGATTTCTTTGCATAGTGTAATTAACGTAATCCAAAAAAGTTTATTTCTATAAGCTTTTAATATATGTTTAATGCTTTTAAAATCACAAAAGTATAATTTAAGAACTTACAGTTCATATCAATTTGAACCACAGCTTCAACGATTGGTGCACGAGGATGACTTACTGCTCTACATGTGAGTCGAGAGTTGAGGTCTTTTCTTCCAAGCGATGTCAGAGATATTACACATTCGATAATTTTTCCCCCTCTGAATGGAAAACATCGCAAGGCATTTCCACACCATCTCTATACCAACTAATTGTAGGAGCTGGGTAGCCTAAAAAATTAGAAGTTGTATTAATAAGCGGAATTTCAATAGATCCCTGGTTGCGTAATTTCAATAAAAACCATTGAAAGAAAAATATTAATATTAAATTGATTCTAATTGTCCACAAATCTTTGAACACTTTAACATTTTTCGTCTATTAGACAGCTTACGCATAAATACGAACAATACCATATTAAATCATTAAAATTTATGACTTTTATTTTTCAAATTAGTATTGTTATTGAAAATAGGAAAGTATTTCGAGAAACTACTAGGTAAAAAATCTAGTGAATGCGGTGGATGCCGAAAAAAATTCGATCAATTACCCTACCCGAAAGATTCCGCCGCTTCGAACCAGACCATTTTTTTATAGATATGGGGCTTTAAACATCCTTAGAGATACTTTTTTTTTTTATGGCAGAAAATTAACTGACTGAAATGAATCCTGTATTGAACTTCCTTTTCGTTTTTCTTTCCACTTACCAGCGGATCTGGCACCAATACAACGTATGAGAATTCTTTTAGTTTAACTGTACCCTAATTTCCGCGATAATACTCCCTTCAGGTTAAAAGTCAAATTTTCTTTAAACACTAATTATATAGGTACAACTGGCATTTGGAACCCACCTTTAGATGTATAAACAAGTTTACTGTCTCTCACGTAACTTCACTGTTCGGTGTCCACAAAGGAAAAGAGCGATCGCCATTCTGCCTCAACTCTCCTAACCTACTTTCCCCTTTTGACATTTCGCCTGACAACAGTCGTTTTATTTCACCCCAAATGTGAACCTAAAACAATAGGTGGCGCTGCTTAGCCACTTCCGCGCCGTTAATGCGCACAGTTTTAAAACCACTGTGCTCTTCAGATAACTTTAACAAAAAGCCCAAAGCTACAGGGCACCTTAAAATTCTTGATCAACTTTTCTCCTCAAAGTCTCTGTAACATATAAAACTATCTAAAAAAATGACCAGAATATTTTCCCAATCTCGCAACGGTATATTTTTTAGGGGACAAAAAAAACATAAAAGGTTTATACACTCAATAACTTTGATAAGGAACATTACATGGTCTTGGGCTGGTATAATCCGTAATCCAAATAATTACACTACTCGACAAAACTGAACTTTTTTTCCGCTTCGAACCAAAGCTAATAAATGCGGCTCTAAATTAGACCAAACACTTTTTTTCGTTATACCCAATCTGAGGTTCAGGTCAAATGTTGACCTTTATTATTTCACAAGTGCAGGTCCACACAAATTAGACATTTGTCGCTTCTACTTATTCATAGTTATGTGGGGGTTTTTGATTTAATATTAAGTTTAATAAATGATGAAATATAGTACAAGAAATAGAATTTAAGCGTCGTTCGTCGTCTGGTTCTTTCCAGAACCCTCTCACGTCGGTAGCTGGATCGAAACTCCCCTCGGCCTCCTCTTTCTCGATCTGCTTCGTGCAGATGTCTTAATTCGCCATCGGTCGTGCTTGCTGTTGTGCTTTGGGAATTCGCTTGGGAGCGAATTCGCTCACGCTCGTTTTGTCTAGGGATTTGCAAACACAACCCACATCCGGCCGTCCTGACTATGCACTCGCCTCGAATGCATCGTCGCTTTTTTCGTCGTTGCTCGTGGACCATGGCTTCAGATACTCCGCACACGAAGAAGAGTGCTTAGGCCCATCGGAATTGCCAACTTTTTTGACGTCGTAAGCATTGTTATGTTTCACCTTAATGATCTGGTACGGACCCAAAAACTTCGGTTTTAGTTTGAGTCCGCTACCAAACTGAGTCCTCTTTATGGCAACTAGGTCGTCAACGTCATACTGCCTGGCTGTTTTACGTCGCAGGTTATATGTCTTCTTGTTCTCGTCTTGCAGATTCAGAATTTGAGTCTTTGCTTTTGCCCGTAGCTCATTGCGGTCGTCTTCAAATGCAATGATGGACTCTTTCTGGATCAAACTCTGAAGCTGCTGGTCATCTTTGGTACGCATCTTGACACCCATCAAAAGTTCGAAAGGTATCGATGCTTCTGGTGTATGTTGAGTTTATTGCTCGCTGGACTCGATCTACGTGCTTAAACCATTTCGAAGGGTCGTCTATACTGAGCTTGGCAAGCACGGAGATGATCACTGCGTTAAGCCTTTCCACCTGTCCGTTTACCCGTGGAAGTCCTGTAGTCGTCTTCACCAGTTTGATGTTTTCGTCTTCGCAGTACTGCAGGAAGTCTTGGGCGGTAAATGCTGAGCCTCTATCTGAAATGATACAAGCAGGGTTGCCAAACGTCACGTTTGGCTGCGTAGCTTTAATATAACCTCATTAGATATAGTTGACTTTGTAGGTATAACCAGCAAAACTTCGTGAAAGCGTCGATAACAGCTAGTATATGTTTATAGCTCTTGCTGGTTGACTCTAGTGGACCCAAAAAGTCAATGTGGTACGTCTGCAGCGGCACGTCATCTTTTTGCAGGGGGTGCAAAAGGCCTTCTTGTTTACCTCGCTTGCGGTTGATTAATATGCAAGGTATACTGCAGTCGATGTACTTCTTGATTTTGTCGTCTAATTTGGTATGTAGTACTCCTTGCAGATTAATTATCTTCTTGATAGCAAAGTGGCCTCTATCGTGAGCCTTGCCGATGATAGTTTTCTGCATATCCATTGGAACCACCATCAATTCAGCATCTTTGACTAATTTGTAATGAATTCCGGACTTTATAAAGTAGTCGTCGTATTGTTATTTGTCATCGCTGATGAGCTTCATGATCGTCTTCAAATGTTCGTCTTGTTTTTGCGCCTGTTCTATGCCAGCTAAAATGCTTCCGTCACTTATGTGCATAACGGGATATCGTGAGAGTGCGTCCACGTGACGCATTCGGGATCCTGCACGATTCTCAACTTCATAGTTGTACTCCTGCAAAAGCATTATCCACCTGGCCACCCTTGTACATAGATTCTGTTTCTCTAGTGTTTTGGTGAACGCGTTGCAGTCCGTTATAATCTTGAATGGTATGCCCAAAAGATACACCCGAAATTTCGTCAATGCCTCAATGACCGCAAGTATTTCCAACTCATAGCTAGTGTATTTGCGCTGCGCATCCGTCGTTTTCTTGCTCATGTAGTATACTGGATGCAATTGGTCGCCGTCTGGTGATTTTTGCATCAACACGGCTCCAAAACCGTCTATGGATGCATCCGTATGGAGTTCTGTCTCGTACTTCTGATTGTACATGGCTAGTACTGGGTTTGATGTCAAACATTTCTTCAACACGCCAATAGCGTTCTCTCTGTTTGGGCCAATTACAAACTTTGCATTGTTTTTTGTAAGGTCAGTCAACGGTCTCGCTATAACCGCGTAATAGTAGATAAACTTTCTAAAATAGCCTGTAAGACCCAAAAAACTTCGAAGCTGTTTCAGTGTCTGCGGCGTCTTGAACTTAGAAACGGCTTCAATCTTCAACGGGGTCGGAAACAGCTTTTTGATTTCGATGATATGGCCAGCAAACGATCTAGCTGGTCATCTATTAACGGCAACGGGAAATGATCTTTTATGATGACTTTATTGATACGTCTAAAGTCTAAAATATTGGCGTTTCGTCTTTTAAAATTATTTTCATTTCAACATTCGTAGTTTTTAATTTTTCCGGTTTATACGTCGATATAATTTCGCGTACTTTGCTTCGTGTAAACTCGTTTACCGCGTTGCTTATGTTCAGCTGAGAATTGTCTGCCGCTACGTCGATTCTCATTATGCACGATTCGTCAGAAGGATCTTCTTTATTTTCATTTGGCATTTTACTCACTTTCACTCCATTGCGATTAAACGATATTTCTGCGTGCAAACAAAGCTCTTCGCCTATTATCAGTTTTATGTCCATGAACCTTGCAGCAACAACATAAAAGTTTAACCATATTCTTCATTGTCAATATGTATGCTATGGTTCACCTGACCAATCGGCTTGATATTGTCAGCTTTGCTCTCACTTCCGAAACCGACCAAACACACTCTGCAGTCTTTTAATTTTGGCATACGCAGTTCGTCGTATAAATCTTCACGTATAATGTTAAATTTACTGCCAGTGTCAAATAATGCCATACACTTTGCATTTTTAATCGAAACTTCTTTAGACGTTAGTTCAGTTTTATTTGAAACTACGCGCATGTTTTGTTTTTCATCGTTTTGTTTCTCACTATTTTCCTTGCAATTTTTAGATATGTGCCCAAACTGATTACACTTGAAGCACTTTCTTCCTTTTCCTTTGTTGGCGCAACTGTTAGACAAATGTCCCTACTCTCCACAGTTGAAACAAACAACGTCTTTTTTGCCAACCTGTGTATTATTTTGTCCAAGCTGCAACTTTTTGTCTCTTCCAATTTTATCACTCTTCTTCATTTTCTCGGTAATTTTCTCATAATCATTTAATTTGTTTTTAAAGTCACTCATCATTTTTGCACCATATAAAATTGTTTTATTTAATGCCATCTCGTCAACACCGTCAATCACGTATTGCATAAGTGTTGTCTTCCACATTGCCTCTCGAAGCAATATCTCTCATGCGATAAAAATATTCCAAAACACTCTCTTTGGTTCGTCGTTTACTCCGTTGAGCTGCATGTGTATTTGTTTGCTACTGATTTTCGACTTGAATTTATCCCTCATCGTCGTTGTTGTTTTGCAGCAGCTCTCCTTCCATCAGATTCCTAAAGATATGGAGTACCATATTTTCCGCATTGTGATTTATGTTCAATGTAACACATATTGAAGAACCAGGTTCCAGCTCCCTGCGTAGGGAAGGCCCAATACAAGGGCGGCGCTCAAGATCCGAAGCCGGCTCCAAGGCAGAGAAGACATCTCCCAAGAGGAGAAGTCCAAGCTAGCCTGGGCCGAGCAG